TAAAATAGTTAAAGTAGTTATTCTATTTTAGCAGGGTATTAAGTATTCTGTAACCTATTACATTTCAAAAGTAACCTCCCCAAAAATGTTGCGAGGTGCCACAGACTTGACACTTGACCTTTGATGATTGTACCATAAAAGTGCAACTGTAAACTAACCTAACTCTTTCTTTCTCGCATGCAATGTATTTCAAGTGAAGGTAGAACTGCTTGTTCTAATGGTTCTAATACAATACAGTTTGCTCTGACTGGGGTTTTGTTTACTTTCCTTCTTTTTCTCCCTATGTTACCCTCTCCTCTCTCTTCTTGTTTAATGGCGGTTGGCATCCAAAATGTTGCATTATCGCCTTCTACTGGATTGAAAATAAGACTCAACTCACCTTGGTCTGGGTCTCTCCCCATCCCATTCTTCATTGAAACTAGCCTTATCTATCTGAGAGGGCCTGAAGGCCTCTCTCAACAGCCCCTGCACCTCCTCTCCAGTATTTCCCAAAATATCTAAGAACTTTCTTGCAGCATCAACTATTTCTTTTCTTTCAGATTTCCTTTCTGCCTTAGCAGCACAGTTAATCACCAAGGCGGAAATGCTAAGAACTTAACCTTGTACTGACACAATACAATACTTATCTTGCTTTCTACCCGATATGTTCTCCCTTACTTTTTTAATCCTTTGTTTGTAGCTGCTTCCTCGTGACATCCTTTTCTTGGACCTGATCCTCGTGACTTCCATCTCTTTCTATCTCTTTGGACAATCTGCCCGCTGTGCTTCATGACTCCACACTGATTATACTCGGGCTCTGCTGCTGCACATCTCATCTCGACATTGACTACACATCCATGTAACATGTCTGCACACCAACAAGCTGTGTCCAAATAACAACAATGCCTGCGCTGAATGGGCTTGGGAACAAAAGCCCTGACTGAACAACTGATATGATCCAAGAATAATCTGTCGGGCAGGATTACTGAGTCGAAATGTATCATAACAGATGTTGTTGCACACCTCTCCCTGTCGCTCATCCTGAACATTGTATGACAGCCAACAACTCTGTAACATTATTTGAAGGTCCAGTGTGTAAGATTTAGGGGAATATATTGGCAGAAATGGAATATACCTGAAAAAAGAATAGTTGTGTTTTCATTACATTACAATGACCCATTTAGATCTTCATAGGGAATTGATCTGCTATGTTTCTGCAATCTAAAACATACAAACCAAACACTGGCTCATGACAGCTAATCACATGTTCGCATCGGCCACCATAGACGGCAGCCCCTCCGTGATAGGCAGCTTTGAAGAAACACTGATTTTTAATGTGAAACTGCTTTGTTCAGAGGTTTTACCAGTTTATATCACAGGGTCTGCTTGTTTTGGAGAGGAAGAAACCTCTGTGGATAGTTTGGCTCGAGGTAAAAACCTCCTAAATGACTGGATCCCAAAAAAGGTGAACACATATCTGCAGGTGCTCGATGAAGACAGACCAAACAGTGTTTGAGATACACTGATTTTTAATGTGAAACTGCTTTATTCAGTGTTTTTACTGGTTTAAATCACCGGTACTGTTTGTTTTAGAGAGGAAGAGACCTCTGTTGATAATTCGACTCCTGGTAAAAACCTCCTGAAAAAACTCTCAGCTGGTTGCAATGTGCAATCCTCGCTGCTGGATGCCACCCTAAATCTTACACCCTGCTCCTTTAAATCTGCTTGTCGACTATACTTGGTGTATCGGCAACACCATTAACTGGAACTCTTCCATTAAGTGGGAAATATGACACTTGGTTACCATCAACTCAGTTATTCCCTTTTCCAGTTGTGTCTGTGACATCCAATGATGATGTGTCCTTTATCCAACTCACAACTCTGATTGTCCAACAGAGCTCCCATTGACTCCCAGTCAATTTTCTTCCAGTCATCATTTTCACTATCATCTCTGTACTTGACATTTCTTGTGTGTTCTTTTTTTTCCTCTGTGATTTCTCCCCACTGCCTCTTTCAAACTCATCTACCTCTGCTCCTCTACCATTCCACCTATTTTAAATTCCTTGTCTCACCAGCAGATGGAGCCATTTGAGATGAGAAGCTAAGTAGTACTGATGCACTCAGGAAGGCAATTATTTAGTTGGCCAGTGGACATGGGCAACGGTCCAGGCAAGAGCCAGTGAATCGAAGCACCAAGCCAAAACTGTATTCGTATAACAGCTTCTGTGAACAGGGTTTTCCCATGCAATTACAGCAACAGTAAGGCGACTCACTGGGTCCTGCAGCATTAAAACAAGAATAACACTCAGAGAATGGCTTGCTTTGAAGAAGTCTCAATACTTCCTTGATATTCATCATGATTTTATTTGACCAAATAAATTTTTATGGTCTCTATGAAGCTCCTTTGTGGTTCTCATTTGACATATTTGTAACTCCATGGAGGAGACAGTATCCACTGTCCTCACAGATACAGATCATTTTTCTTTTCTTTTTTGTCCTTTCCTATCTATTTTCCCGACATTGCCCCGGACATAGTCTACTGGTGAACACTTAAAAAACCCGCAGACCCATACATCACAGTCAGACAGGAACTGTCTGTTCCTTTGTGTGTGTGTGTGTGTGTGTGTGTGTGTGTGTGTGTGTGTGTGAGAGGGGAGAAAGTGGAACAGGTGAAGGTATTTTATCTCCCTCTCTGTTTCTGTACAAAAATGTTTTGCTTAATTGCATGAACCATTAAATAAAGTTGCTGTTGTTATCACATGTCAGGCCCATAAGACACACAAACCCAACAAACAACACTGAAGAATTATTCTAAGGAAAACCGCTACCGAACAAGATCATCATGTGATGCAAAAGATACGCACACACCCAGATGCTCTGTATCTGTAGGTGAGCATGAGTACGTATATGTGACGTGGAAATGCGTATCTGTGAGTGTGTTTGTGTGCTTGTGTGTGAAGATGAGGAAGAAACAGAAGCTAGTTTTGTTTGTGAGCTACCAAAGAGCCCAGCATGACAAAGATTGCCTAACAAGGCGTTGAGCAGAGGGGAACCCATGCATAGCTAATAGCCCAGTTCCCCCAAAAGCCTTTGTACCCTGAAACAAAAGCCCTGTCCTGCCCCCGCCCGTGCGCGCGCACACACATACACACACACACACACACACACACACACACAGAAGAAGAAGCAACAGAGAGAGGAGAGGAATATCAAGTAAGATTTACAGGAGAGGGGTTGTGCAGACAGAGTGAGGTGGTCAGAGGTCACAAACTGAAGAAAAAATAAACTGAAGACGCTCTTAACTGGTACTGAAACATCTTTTTAGCTATAATAAAAAGGTATCTGTTGGTCAATTTCAGAATAAGATATTTGAGTCTGACAACGTGAGATATAAACCATTATTAGTTAGTCCAAGTGGTGGAGGACATACTCAGATCCCTTACTTGAGTAGCAATTCAACAAAGATTTGAAACTGTTACTCAAAAGCACAAATGTATTCACAACCAACTGTACCTAAAGTAAGAGCACTTATTATGCAGCAGAAAGATGTCTGTCAGTATTATTTCATGACATATTCTATTACTTATCATTAATGGTGGGGCTGAATTTAACTATTTTACATAGTGCTGTGCAATTTAATCTGTAAAAAAAAACATCACACTATTTTATAGAAATGTAAAACTACTGCAAAGTAACTAGTGACCACATCTGTCAGATAAATGTAGTGGAGTGAAACTGGATTCCCTCTGAAATGTAGGGGAGGAGAAGTAGAATACTTGGATGAAAAACCAAAACACATATATATTTAGCAGTCGAGATTGTTTTGGGGGTTAGTTGTCGAGTATTGGAAATATCAGCTGTAGAGATGTGTGTTGAGCACCACAAGCCTAGTGCCATCTAATTCCATCACATTCAAGAGAAGGCAGACATCTCTACGGCCGGTATCTCCAACACTTGGCAACTCACACCAAAACAATCTAGACTGATAAATAGTTCTACAGGTAAGAGCTCAGCGCCTCCACACACAGAAGTGCTGAGGACAAATTTGAGGCACACACTCCTAACAGATGAAGTGAGAAGAACAGAATATCATTTGAAAGTCTAAGAAAAGACAAGAAGCCACTCACAGGAGGCTCAAAAGAGAGAGAGTTCAACGTTTAAAACATTTATTTGATCTATTTACAGACAGTACAGTCGACTGAACAGAGGAGAATTGATTTCTATTGTGACACAACTGAAGAAACAGCATGGCTGCATTGCAATTCAACGATGACTACAGCGATACGGTGCTTTCACAAAGTTGACTATATACAAATTAATACTTTTAACTGATAGATCATAAAAATGAAAAAAGGATGTGGGATAAATTAATGTCGTCTTGATAATATAGTACAGGATAAAGTATGAGTGAAACCTTTAAAAAGTGAAACGGTTTGACTTGTTAGTCCAATTTTTCCAGCTAAAACCCTGCAGGGAAAGACGGTTCAAAACACTGTTAACCTGCGAGACTGTGGAAAGAAACAGAAACAGATGCTGCCGTGTGATGTAGTGCAAAGAAAATATATTGAAAAACTGCTCATGTACAGTCAGTGCAGACGCTTCTGGATCATTTGGTCAGAGAGCAAGATTGGACTGTGTGTGCACTCAGTCTGTTTCATGAGTGACACGAGAAATGCCTGAGGTGAGAGGACAGTGGTGGAAACACAGACTGTACTGTGTTGAGTCGATAAAGACCAGCTGAGCAAATGTGTGTGTGTGTGTGTGTGTGTGTGTGTCCATGGCACTGTAGCATATGTTTGTATTAATGGGGTCAGCATGCAGTGTGCACAATAGCATGTAATAAGTAGAAAATAACACACGGGTCACTTAGAATTGCAGCAATGTAGCCTCCATACCGCTGTGGGTTTGGAACAGCTAGTAATTGTTAGCAAGTATATCAACTGTTTTCTAAACCTATGGCAGCTCAACCACCTGTAGCACGAAACGGACACTTTGAAAGGTTAAAAAAAAAAAAAAAAGAGCAGGGAGAAAATTATTTTTAAAAATATTTAAATATGAGTGAAGTCTTGTTTGTAATTGGCTAAAGTGCATTGTTAGATTCTGTACACTGAGGAGGGGGTGCGGGAGGGAGTTTGGCACTGGTCATCGCCAGTTATTCTTGAGCTCGTCCTCGAGCTAACGTCTCCAGAAAGAAAATCCACAGCAAGTCCGCTCAAAAGTTCACACAGATACAAACCACGCAGGGAAATTTCTGCCCGAGCCTAATGCATCCATTTTTCCTCTCTTTATGTGTCTCACCAAGTTCATCTAAAGGTTGTCGTTGACTTACAGTAGATGCTGGCCGCAAGGTAGTGCATATATCACTATATCAACTCACTATATCCACTGACTGACTTTAAGGAGCTGTATGTGACATTCAGAACATTACTATAGCAGCAAACCACTATTTGCTATGTATCTATAGTGGAGTAATGGTGTCCTGAGCAGAGAATAAAGTCATGCTCCCTCTGTGTGTACTGTAATCCTAACCTCTCTGTTTGATGTTGTGGGAGACAGTCCGGCTGTGCGTGCATTTTACTGAACGAATGTCCCTGGGTGCATTTCATCATGCTAACGTGTCTCCTCGCTTCCCTCATTTGCTTTCTTTACTTGTGTCTTAATTTTGCCCAAGAGAGAAGCAAGCGGAGGAAGCAAGGAGTTGAAACTGCCAAGTGAGAAATCCTTGGTTACAGAGCAGCAGTCTTAAGAGTAGTCTGTTACTTATGATGTGCTGCACAGCTGTATCACCTGTCAAACTGACTGGCAGGAATGAATGTCTGCAAAACCCCTTATTTAAAAAGAATTTCAAAACCTTAAACAGATAGATGGGAACATCTCTTGTAGGCCTATAATAGTTTAACATAACCGTTTATTAGTAGTATTATTACTTAGGCTTTTTATTTACTCGCGTTCTTATGTACACAATAATACACCTCATAGCTGTGTAAGAATGTGTGTATGTCGACTGATGAAAGACTTCTGTGTATGACACACCAGTGTTTTCTCACTCTAAACTCCTCCATAGGCCTCCTCTCTCCTTTCTCCTCTTTCCTCGTCTACTCGAGGTGCACGTAATGAATTGGAAGATCCTCCATGATTGTGGAAGGGGAATGATTTCTGGGTCACAGGAGAAGAGAGGAGGTGAGGAGGCATAATGCCCAGACCACACTGCCTGTGTGAGCAGCGCGTGACAGCTACCTCGCTGAACTGCTGCAGGTCGCACACGTGCAGCGTTCACACAGACAGCATTGCTGCTGCAGCTGTGAGAGCTGTATTTACACAATTAAAAGCCAGTACTAACAAATGAAGGGATTCTGTCTATTCTTTGAGGGTCGAAACATTGTCAGAGGGCTTTTACATGGAAATGGTAAAAAGTTAAAGTTAAGTTAATAATAAATACTTAAGATTTTTTCATGTCTGTGACAGATAGAGAAATTGAAATTGTAAAGGTGGTACAATGTCAGTTTGCTTATGAAAACCTTATCACTGTCTATTGTTGCTGAATCCGTGCGTGACGTGGAGACATCTGGATGTTCCCCAGCTGTGCAGCAGCTGAGCCTGCCTGAGAAGCACTGCTTACTTGGGCAATGTGGCTGCTCTAACCTGTTAACACGGGCGCCAAAAAAAGAAAACACAAGAGGATGCACAATCCACATGCACAGGCAGTGTGGCCCAGGCATAAGTCAGCGTGATGAAAAGGACCTCCATGTGAGTGTGTCCCACTGGCGAGCTAATCGCCACTGCTCTGTGCTCATATGGTGGTTACCACTGATATCAGGATAGTGTTGTTGTCAAAGAGTGGCGCACACCCTCTAGTTTCCCTGCAGGTTAGCCCCATTAGCTGCTACCCACCAGCTCAGCCACCTCTATGTTGAGAACATGGACAGACAATTCTGCCCTAGACTCTGAATGATGGGTGTCTGAATGTCACAAACAGCTCCTTTAACACTCATTTCTACTGCATGTGATGAAAGCTTGTTCTTTTACATTACTGACTGTTTTACACTTGAATCTGGAAATAAATGTTCCACAATTTTAATGAGACAGTAGAAAGTGATTAATAAAATAAAGGGAGGAGAACTGGATGCATTCTGGGCCAAAAGTGACCAACAAGGAATTTCAAACTGACTATATTGGGTCTCCAGTCCCTCTCACAGTCAGTTGAAGGAAGAGGTGAAAGTTTAAAAGTTTTTAGAGCTCACACAGGGGAAGTACCTGAGCTAGGCCGACCGTCCTGTGCTTGTTGTTGGGGTTTGCACTGTAGGGCTGAGGGAGTGACGTAGTTGAGGCTGGGGCTGTTAATGTCCCCCTCTCCCACAAGAGTCAGATCAGACAGCGTGTCCTCCTCCAGCATCTGGACTGATTCTCCTCTGCCAGAGTCCTGGAGGAGACCACGCTGGGCACCCTGGGATGGGTGAATGGGGGAGATGGTGCCAGGAAACGGAGGAGGTGGCCTGGCTTTCCTCCCCCCTCCACTCTCAGTTCCCAGTGCAGAGTCCAAGCTCTGGGACTGATGGCTCGCGTTGAGCAAGTGGGTGCTGCCTCCTCCTCCCCTGTCGTTGCTGTTCGTCTTATTGCCCCGGCGACCGCTGCTAGGGAAGCTGCCGTTGTTGGGGTTACGAGAATAAGGGGTGGAGCAACTAGGCTCAGGGTCGTAGGGAGGAGGGGCAGCCTGGTTGGTTGCCACTGGTGACAGGCGCAGAAAGTCTGGGAGCTGCAGGTCGCTTTTGTTTAGCAGGCCTCGCTGGTCGTCTGCTCGGTTGCTCTGAGCTTTGGATATGAGGTCGAAGAACTCTGCAGGCGCACACACACACACACACACACAACAAACAGAAACAAGTGTACAGACACGTGTGCACACACACATACATAAATGAATAATCACCAAAATAACATCTTGAAAAACAGCATTACACATTCATTGTAATCAGAAAACATGCAGCAGAGGGTATGTATTAATCAGACAAGTCAAAGCTACATTCAGTGTGAGCAGAAGCTACATGTAGCTAGCTAGCTTTGAAAGCATTTGGTGCTGCTGCTGCAATAAGGCAAACAGGAGGAAGTGTTAGTTGTAATCACAGCAACCAAGCTACAGAGCTACAGAGAGGGAGGTCGTTCAGTCTTTACCTTCAGCTTCGTCTATATTAATCTTTTTCTGCTTTCTTTTCTCCGGAGCCTTATGGAGAGAGACAGAGTGGTTGGGTAATGGCTGGCTGCTTGTGTCAGGGCTGGGCCCAGCTTTGCCGTTCTCCCCATGGGGGTGGGTTGAACCGGTTTTCTCTGACGGCCTGTCCTCCCCCTGGGTGCCATAAGGAGAGCGGAGCAGGGCATTAGAGCCCTGGTGAGTCATGGTGGCGCAAGTATGGGCACAAGTAATGACAACACGTGGGCACCAGTGCTACTGATGGTGAAGAGGGTGACAAATTGTATAATGAGAACAATTTGATGGGGGGAAGGGGGGCACAAGTTTCAATAATACTGCTTTTGAGAAGAAGGACAATCAAATGGAATCAAAATAATTATGAAAATGAATTCATTGGTTTTGTGTAATTCATTATCAGTGACACATACTAAAAATAATTCTAGTAAAACATAAATTATAATTGAAAGACAGGTGGGATGTTCCATTCAGACAACCACAATGCTTAACACTGTGTGTACTAAGCATCACCAACATGTAAGCTAATAGTAAAAGACACCACAACACCAGAGGGACCAACTGTCTACTACTTTAAGCCACACTACTGCCCTTTGAGTGGAAAACAACTTCATCTAGAACCAGCCAAGAAAGCAGTAAGTGACCATTACAGATGGTCATCAATCAGGCCCAATATGAAAGAAAACCCGCACAGCAATCTAAAGAGCAACCGCCACCACTAATTAAGTCTTTCCCAGGTGCACAGAGGGAGTCTTTGAGGTTCTGAGACCCAGCAAATGCCCCGCAAGACTGGGCTACTACTGCCTAGCCACTGGGTTTGTTATGGAAGAAAGAGAACCAGCAAACCAGAGAGAGAAGTTGATGATGCATTCGGCCACAGGCAGACCACAATAATGGAACATTAGGAACCTTCAGAGTGTGACGAGGCTCAACAGCAACAGTGCACATTAACACAGGCACACATCGCTGCCAGAGACAAACATCATACACCTGCACATATTTTTGACACATGGCAAACAGACATGGGTGATTGAAGACAGCGAGAGACACTTAGTAGCGTGACATCATCAACCAGGAAGTGGAGACATTCGGTGAGTTATGGAACATTCCAGAGCAAGAGGAAAATGGGAAAATATGAGCTGGAGGAGATCTTACTGTTGTCGATTGGTTTCTGCTTGTTGAGGCCGGGACGAGGCTCTTAGAGGGAGCTACTTTCTGTTTGTCTGCTGGATGAAAGGAAATACAGATGCAAAAATGACAGCAATACATGTGCTAGTTTTTTGTTCAGTATTTTGTATTTTGAGTATTTTGTTAATAGTGGATCCACGTAAATGCACCTGAAGAGAAACAGCAGATTGCATTTATTATCGACAGCAACTGTACGTGTGTATGTGTGCTCCTTACCTTTTCCAGGAGTGTTTTCTGCAATATCTAATACCACCCGCAGCCCGTCCAGGTTGGATATAGGAAGACCTAAATCTAATGGCTCCATTTCCCCACTCTGCATCAAACACACACAAGTGATATGTCATCAAATACACTGCCTGTCTGTGTGTTTTCTTCTGTGTATCTACAGGCAGTCAGAATGAGGATGGACTTACAATACGTGCCACCAAGTCAGCGAGGTGCAGGCCGTATTTGGCCACCACAGGCCTGAGGACTTCAGTCACTGGCTTGGTGGGCTTTGCTTTAAGGCCCACTGAACGGTTAATAGGGACCAAGTCAAGTCTGGAAAAGGAAAATAAGTCTCAGTTTTACTCCTGGTGTTGGTTTGAAGTGTTTAAAAACTTCAGGTGATTACTGCTCATTACTGTACCTGAAGAGAGTGCGTTTTTCTAGCCGGAGGTCTCGAGAGCACAATGTCATACAGTCTTGGTCTAAAACAAGTGGCTGAGAGAGTGAGACAGAGAAAAGGAGAGAAGCCATCATGAAAAATGTCCAAGTAATTACACAACCTTAAAATGTGATCACTGACTGTTAAATGAAACAACAAAAGATAAACCTGGCAATTACTGCTCTCTGACCCCCTGACCGATATGAAATGCTTCTTTATGAGCAATTGTAATCATCATTTATTAAAGCTGCATCAAGAAGTTTTTGGCTAACCTTATAGGGTTGATATAGCATCATGTTATCAAAATATTTACCGTTTGAGCAGTGAGACTGAACCAAAACAGTAAAGCTGCAGGCTATAAAACATTAACAGTGAACTGAAAGATGTAAAAGTAGAACTAAGGCCCTGTTTACAAGATATTATAGACATCTTTTGAAACAGATATTTTCCTTTTTTGGCCTCTCTTGAAGTGAAGTTTTAAGCCACTAAAACAAAGATTTCTTTAAAAAGGCCTTCAAAAGTGCAGATTTTTCAAAACCCTCCTCAATTTGCACATGTCCATTGTTGCTTTGTATAATAAGCCTGTGCCAACAGTAACAACATTGGCAGACTAACAGTTTATTTATATTTTGTTAGCACTGCTTGGTCTAATGGCTACTTTAGACTTAAACTTAGTATTGCTGCACAATTTTACAGACGAACAAAGACGTCCGCTGCTCCCAGCGTTATTTGGTCCCCCACAGCGAGGGGAGACTGCTGACGACAGCTAACACCGGCAAGGATTTGGAGTTGTTTTTGCACTCTAGTATGGCTGGAGATATTTTGTCAAACCAAGGTCATGTGAACACATTTTTTTTTAAACAGAGAGGGAAAATATCCATTCTCAAAAAGATCTGTATACATGTAGACAGGGCCTGAGAGGTCAGGTTACAATTTCCTGAGTTCATCATTACATGAGACATCTTTCACAATACACACAGTCCTTTCACCTGTTGTTTATAGAAAAAGAAAACTGATTACTGCGTCATTAAAATATGTTTATATAACAACCAACCCAGACTAAATTCTGTGTGCTTAATTTGGTTTAGTGTGATTTGTTGTCCTTTTTGATCATTTGCATAAAGAGATTTGAAGCCCATAATAAAGGCCACATCCACTTGTGTTGTACCTTCTCCCCTCCAACCAGGAAGAGGTCTATAGCTGCCAGGTTGATGCAGAGCTTCTCACAGAGACCAAGCAGCAGATCCCTGATGGACACTCCAGCCCTCAGTGGCACAGAGCAACATGAGCCGTCCGGCAAGCTTATGTTACACTGCCTCAAGGGGGCGCTGCCCCCTCCGCGCTCTGTTGACACTGATACTGCGCCTCGGGAAACATCACCCTGAGAGAGGAAAACAAAGACAGGGAGGGTTAGAGGAGATAGTGAGAGGAGGGTTAAAAAAATAAAAGAGACAATGAAAATGGAGGAAAACAACAAACAGTCTTAAATTATTTCTGTATTCTCAGTGTTTTGCTGTTTGAGCTCCTTTTAAAGCAGATACACCAAGAGGAAGAATGTGAAGATAAAGCTGCTCCGTGCTGAAATAAATGTCTGTGTGCCCATTACTGCAACGTCTAAACTAATTATCTGCTGATGTCTCTTTCCAGACTGACCTCATTCCTTCCTGACCCTGATGGTCCCAGCTCCAGACTGGCTCCTGAAGACAACGAACCCTGGGATTCCCGGCGACCATTGCTGCCAGAAAAATCTGAAAAACAATGCACTCATCAGTAGTGTCTAGAGGAAGGACAGACAAGGTGATGATCCATTTTTGAAATCAATACAGTTTTAAACACGTTGAAAACTACTGACTGTAGTTGAAGTCGGCCAGCTCTCGTTTCTTCGGGCCTTTGCCAAAGCTCCTGTTGCGGGACCAGGAGAAGAACATGCCTTTCCTCCGGTCTCCTGAATCATCCCGACTGTCCTCATTTAAAGATCTGCCTGACTTGCTCTTCTTGTCCTCCTATAAGACACAAAGATAATAAACAAGAGGGATCGACACACAGGGGTACAAACTGAACCTCACTGTAGGATGAATGCAGCCACACACAGAAATATATAATGACAAGCCAGTGCTGTGCCTTTCTTCACACCCCAAATTGGATATTTTCTACTAGATGGCAAAACCCAGAATCATTCCCGACTGTAGAAACTGTAAAAATCTTAAAAGCAATTCTGTGCTTCTCCTCCTATTGAAACTTCTAATGTATATACATTAGATTATAGATTTTTCCATATATATTTCCCTATGTTTCTGTGTATACCAACACTAATTCTGTGAAAACCGTGACATGCAAAGCTAAGTGGAAGTGTTTGTCGAGGCTTTGCGTTGTTTTACCTTCTTGGGTGTGGACAGGTTGGAGCGGTCGGAGCCGGTGGTGCTATGTTTGGACGTGGGGCTGCTGGGGATGTGGTAAGGGTCAGGCAGGGGCCTCCCCTCCACCTCGGCCAGCATACACTCCTGGTACAGCAGAGACTTGAGGAACCGTGTGTAGCTGTCGAACTTCATCAGGTTGAAGATCTAAAGGGAAGAAAGGGCAGGAAAGGAGTAATCAGCGGGCAAGGAATGAACAAGCACTCAAAGAAAGGAGGGCAGGACGAAGGCAAAACAAGAAAGGAAAGGGGAGAGGATTAATGTATTTTAAATAAATAAAATATTTCACTGCTGGAAAGATGGTCAATATGGTGGTCGGCAGGTAGTAAACAATCTCGTATTACAGTTAAACAGTACGCTAAATTATTTTTCTGAAGACATTTTAGGTGAGAAATAGGCAACGCAATAACAGCATCTTGGTTCAATTTTGTTGGTTAGTTTTACCATTTGATCTCATTTTTTTCAGCCTTTATGTTTCACAATACAGGAAACAGTATGGTACCTGCTTCCTGTTCACAAACTCATACTACAGACAATCGGTGCACTAAAAATATGTTTCTGAAGATATTTTAAGTGAGCAACAGGCAATATATTAACCTTGGTTTATATTTAATCAGCACTGCCTAGTTTTACTGTTTCATATGAGTTTGAGAAACAGAGAGGGGGGTGGGGTCTCTCTTTCTTGATCCTCCTCTATACTCATTGTGTCTGTGGTGGCAGCGGGCATACAAAAATGTGGAAGTAAGGAAGTACAATCTGTAGCTGATTTTCACTGGCAAATGAGCAGGGAGATCTGGTCGCTGGCATAATGGAGGGGAGTTTCACACAGTTCATTTACAAAGCTGGTTAAAAATCGGCAAATGATCCCTTTAAGGATGGAAAACTTGAGAGTAATAAAGGGAAAGACCGAAGAAAATGAAGATATAGACATGTTGGAAGCACATGGGAGAAAGGTCAAAGTAAAAGTCTAACATCCCACTGGCAATCCCTTGAAGTTGCTCATGTTCACAGATGACTACCAGCACACAAATGATTTTATTTTCTTGGAGTCCTAAAATCCATGAGGTTATAAAAATAAATTGTGTCTGTCCTCTGGGGAGCATTTTTGTGATGCCCAGAGGATGATCGGTTAGATTTTGATATTTTTGTGTGCTGCTTGAAAATATAATGAAATTACTGACGAGAAAGGGTGTGTGTGTGCCCTTCACAACATGCACATTTAAAAAGCCATTCACATCCATGATGCTCTACAGCAGCCAAAGATGAATGGCAGACCTTATGCTGTGTGCTGTAATACAACTTCAATGGAGGTCTGTTTTGATTCAGTTTTAGGGGTAATAATAACTTTGTCCCTCAGGGAATGTGTCTTTTCACTTCCCCCTCACAAGGAAGGGCAGAGGTCAGTGTCATCTAAGATTCTGGAGCAGATGCTTCCTCTTTGAAAGACATGGCGGCTGATCACCTTGAGATTTCAAAGTATAGGTTCTTGAGTTTGTGTTTGGTGCATGCTACCTGCAGCTGCTGCTCCTTGAACATGTCAGGTCGGGGAGCGTTGAGGATGTCGTCAGCTAGCTGGGCCTGGCTGTCTATGTTGACCGGTGTTGTTGCTTTGCTGGACAGGAAGCTGTTGTAGATCTCCCTGGCACGCTGAGAGAGCTGGAGAAGGTGAGAGGGTCAGGCAAAGTGAGCGGCAGGCAGGAACATGGAGGGTGGAGGAGAGGTCAAGGTACAGATAGAGACAAAGACAGAGAAAAACAAGGAATAAAAAAAGCTGATTAACACTTAACATTTTCCATCATTATTGCTAAAAGGAGTGTAAACAGAAGCATGTGTGTAATCAAACAATGTCATGTCTGTTACCTGCTTCTTGTCATTCTCAGGTACGTGGCTGAAGAACTCACAAGCCTGCCAGAACAGGATATTCTCCTCACTGAACTCTTTCTTCAAGAACTCCTGCAGCACAAGAATTAGATGTGGATCAAAAATCGGAAAAAATGTTGCAAACCAATATACCAGACTGGACAACACAACAGCTCCCAAAAAGTGAAGCCAAACCATCTGGATCGACCCCTGAAGGCTTGCTGCAGTAAAGCTCCTAAAAGCCGCCCCCTCCATGTTAGCAGGTGGGACATGTGCCAAACTGAACACTCAAATAATTGTATCCCAAAGATGGTTTCTTTTATTCAAGGTACTTCTCATCACACTGCTGTATGTTTAAGTGTTTGTTTTTCTGATAAGTCTGGTTTTAATTAGTTATTTAATGCTATAAAAGGGGGATCTGATGAGATGATTGACAGCTGTCTGTGCCCATCAGGGTGTTCGCGATCAATGGTGCTTCACGTAATTGGTCAGACCAATATAGCGGCAGGAACTCGATATTTCGAAGATCGCTACTGTGCAGACTCTGGCCTCAAAATGATGTCACCAGCACAAGATGGCAGTGACCGTATCAGGGATATTTGGCTTCATTTTTTTGCAGCGGAAGGAAGTGGAGACACATTGTCCATCTTCATATACAGTTACTGTAATATACATGAGGAGTCAGAAGACATAAAAGCTGGGAAAGCTGATCCTGCTGGGGGGCAGTGCTTGGTACTCCCGTTTAACTGTATCCAACATGGCAGCTGTGACACAAACTTTCTCAATTTACAGCTAAACAGTGTACTAAAATAAGTACTGAAAACATTTGAGGTGAGAGCTAGGCAATGCAGTGACAAAATCTTGATTCATATTTGACCAGCAGTGCCTAGTTTGACAGTTAGACTGCAGTTCATGTTCAGTGACATGATTGACAGCTGCAACACCTTCTCAACTCTGACTGGATGTTTTCATTCACGTGTGGTAAGTCCGTTGGAAAGGCAATGGCGTAGGCAGAGGAGTATGATTTTGTTTTTAACGATTTTTCCCCCAGGTTATCTGTCACATTTAGTGCTGTCTGAATACAGTTTCAGCAAAAATAAAAAATGTTTTTTTATAAAGTTACCAGCTGTAGCTTTAAATTCCTTTTGACAGTTGATTTTTTCCCGTAAAAGTTTTTTTTCGGGGTGGGGGGGTGGGGGGGGATTTTTCCTTAACAGCTGTGAGGGTCCAAAGGACACAGGGATGTCGTATGCTGTAAAGCCCTCTGAGGCAAAATGTGATTTGTGATATTTGGCTTTATAAATAAAATTGAATTGAATTGAATTGAAAGAAGCATAGCTTATCTGTTATGTGAATGCGCTGGCCAACACCAGCCATGTGTTGTTTATAGTACCGAGAAGTAGCGGACTCCCACGGGGTCCTGCAGGAGTCTCTCGAAGCAGACAGCCCAGCTGGCCACTCTCCTCTCAGTGTGGCGCCGGTGGCTCTGAACACTGGGCAGGCTGGCATTACTGTTCAGACTGTTGTCGCTGCTGCAGCCCTGCAGCTCCACGCTGTTAAGTTCTGTTCACACACACAGAAAAAAACAACATCAAATACTTGTAGTGGTAGTTTTTCAAATAGGGCTGAGAATCTCCAGGTATCTCGCAATTTGATTTTCAGTCGGCAGTAATTAAAAACTTTTTTCCCTGCATCTTAATTTTGATTTCCTTTTTTTCCACTGTCAGTGCACATTCACAACAGCATAATTTATGGATATTCTGGTCTGGGATGGGTGATATCATTAAAATCAAATGGTTATTTTTCTCTCTGCAAGCTTGCCGGTTTGTTTTTCTCCATCTGCAGGGGCTTCAGCACTATTAGTGGCATGATGTGTCCCGTGCCAGTGATAAGGTCAGAGTAGCAGCCAGCCCAATGAAACCTCCTCGACCCACATGTGTCCTGCTGTGGTTTGCTGCTGCTTTATCCTTTCATTTCACAACACAACACCACTACAGCATGCTTTCACACACACACGCACGCACACACACACTGCAATACTGATATTACAGATTTTATCTACCCATCTGTTTGAAGTTATAAATAATCTGCCTTTATGATTTAGCTAATCAGTGTTCTTCGTTTTGAATGCTGACAAAACAAAAGTCATGATGTTTTCAAATGCTAAAGGACTCTGAGACTGAGTCTGTATCTCATTAGAAATATCTTGGAATTATAACCGATGATTGTCTTTCTTTTAAGCCTCACATTCAGCAACTGGTGAAAAAAAAAACTGAAGTTACATTTGGGTTTTTATTTTAGAAACAAGTCTTGTTTTTCCTTCAAGGTCAAAAGGAAACTTGCTGCTGCCACCTTAATGTCTGTGCTGGACTATGGGGATGTTTTATACATTCATGTGTCTTCAAAATGCTTACACACAGGATACTGTCTGCCACAGGGCACTGAGATTTATTACAAATCTCAAAGCCCTTACTCCCTATTGCTCTCTTTTTGTTCAGGTAGGATGGTCTGCCTTGTCCAACCCGTAGACTTAACCACTGGCACATTCTTATTTGTAAGACTGTTCTTGGTCTTTTACCTGTTTACCTACAGGTCAACATCTTTCTAAAACTGTAGGAAGTTATCGTCTTAGCCCCCAGGACCTATTCTTGCTAACTGTTCCTATAGTCAATACTGAACTGGGAAAAGGAACATTAAAGTATGTTGCTCCCTCGGCTTGAAATCAGTTACAAATTTTCTTTATTCTTTAGGAGCTGGTGTCATTGGACACATGGGCTATGAAGGAGGCACATCTCCCTGTAGATGTCTGGACGGATTGAAGAATGTTTTTAATATCTTTTAATTACTGTAAGATGTTTTTTGTTTACAATTTGAACTGTTATATATTTCTTTTTTTCCTGCAACCATGTTATCTGTGCTGCTGCCCGTCTTGGCCAGGACACCTTTGAAACAGAGATTTTTAATCTCAATGTCTCTTTTACTCCTGGTTGAATAAAGATTAAATTACAAAAAGTGTTTCCTATTCTTGTCATGTTCCAAGTGCCAGACTGTGACATCATATACTGCATATCATAATACAACAAATACATGCAAAAACACTCGTGTGAAAAACAAAAACTAGTGTAGTTGTGGACAATGGAGTTGTGTAAAACAACAGAAAATGTCTATGCAATTCCACATAAAGTATAAAAATGAAAACATGGAAAAAGATAACGTACTTATGAGACACAAGTAACCAAAAAGCTGCAAGTATCCCTGCAACTCCACGCTGTTTATTTCAGTACTGTTGAAAGTATGTTGACAACATGCTTCACTGCACACATTATCTTTGTGTCGTACTTGCGCTTCATAGTCTCATTGATATGATCTTCAACAACTCCCCAAAACAATTTATCTAACACTGTAGCAACTCACAAAGCACTACTTTAACATTCCAATTAGGGAGTTTTGTGCATGAATGATCAATCACTCTAAGGAGACTCCCAACGCACTTAAGAATCGATTATTTTTCTCACAACTAGACCCTCAGTATGTCTGTGTTCCTAATGTTAAGACAAACTTGCAAAGCAAAGGCACAAGAGAGAAGCTGATAATAACCAGAATAACTGAGCCTCGGGCCTGATGAACTAAAAGCGGGACGCTCAGTTGAGATAAAACAAAATAAAAGAACGGCCAGAGGGAAGGCATCACCGGTCAGGTGCCTGACACCACGCAAATCCTGTAAATAAACTGAAAGGCCATAATGTTGCCCAGCAAGTCATGTGTAATTTCAAACTTGGAAACTTGGCTATTAATAGATCATTCCAGTGTGATTCCTGCTTCTGCACATTTTTCACCAGTTTCTTCTTCTCAGTGAGAGGTTATACACTGAGGATTAAGTTTTTTTCAAACCTTATTCACTCTCATTTAGTTTCAAACTGCATAGTAAACAATGACTAAGACTCCTGTTTTAGTCATTAATGGTAATTTTAATCCCCATGAATGAGATGAAAACACTAATTCATCCATTCTCCTAACCACTTATCCTGTTCAGTGATTCATTCTGATCCACAGAGGCTGGAGTCTATCACAGCACACACTCTGAATAGATCCCCTGTCTGTCAAAGACACAGGCCAACACTATAAAGGCACATCACAGCAGTAATATCTGGCTGCGAACAACAAGAGAGAAGTCTCAGATGTCATTTCATATTACCGCACAAGAGTTGAAATATTCCCAAATTCTTTTCCTCAAAATAAAAATTCACTAAATAGGCTGTTTCAAACTTGACAATGAATGACATCAGCTGACAGGAAGTAGACACGGACTCAAGCCGTTGCCTAGCAAAGCAATTCTAATGAAACGGTCTACAGTGATTTCCCCTGTCTTGCACAAGTCATCTAAGCCAACTAACAAACCAAACATGCTTAAATGCATGTACAGTATACACCGCATAAATGAAAGTGAAAGTGTAATTTAAAAAAGAATAGAGCTTGATATACACAGTAAGAGATGACAATTTCTACCACAGCCATCACTGAAGAGTATGATTTTAAAGGTTCAGGATACTAGAAAACATGAATATTTAATGTTATAGAGAAATACCTAAAGGGGAACACACCTACGTTAAGAATTCCAATATTTTATTTCCATGGTCTAGTAAAGTTAAATCAACATTCATGAACATGAGCGACTCTCAGAAACCAGAGAAGTAAGTCTCAAACTTGTGATGACACAGGGTATGAAGTCTGTACAGCTCCAGAGACAATGAGTGAGAGACTGATTTTGTGGACCCACAGAATGTTTGTTTTCTTTTTTAAACCCAAATGAGTTTTATTCTGTCTTAGTGTTCTCAGTTCTGAAACAGAAAATATACACATATATTCAGAATATTCCCCTGGGTGCTCTCATCTCTAACATCATCTCTAACATCTTCCAGCATTCACTGTCTATGGAGCAGCTCTAGACTTCATACCCTACCCTAGGACATTACAAATTTGAGTTTTAGTACTCTAGTTTTTAGATTTGGAAGAGAGTTGTTCATATTTAGACTGTTTGGACTGTCTTAGACCACAGGAATAATACATTTTGAAAATTTGCATAGTTCCCCTTAAAGATTTAAAACCAAGTCTCCAGGGACTTTGTGCAAGATTAGAGTGTAAACTTTGATATCTGCATTTCATAGAGGGTACATTTTGCTGTGCATACAAAAGGAAATCAGCCTTTAGAGAGGCATTACTGTGAAAATGCTCAACAGAGCTCAGTGACAGAGTGAGCAAAGTTTAGCCTTCTATAATAGCAGACCAGAAAAATACAATAAGAAGAATAATAAGTACCTAAAGAGTCTTAGAATTTGGTCCCCCGACAGCGTCACTGCCTCACTCCTAACATTCCTTCTAAAGCCACTTTTATCTCTTAATGAAGATGGAGACAAGAAACAGCAGAGCAGTACAACACTTAACACCATTCAGGTGAGCAACAACATTTTTGAACAGACAGGATAAAGCAACTACAAGGAACTTTCATTTTGTGCTGATTTAAACAGCCCCTGTGGACAAAACTGGTAGTTATTGGTACTTATGTTATTTTACGCACTGTAAGGTGACCTTGGGTATTTTTGTAAGGCGTCTTTTAAATAAAATGTAGTATTTTTATTATGATGATTATCACTGTTTCCATGAACAAGATCTTGATCTGGCTAGCACATGCAACTTCTTTTCTTATTGTCTTTCTTAAACACTGCTGTTTGCAGGATGCATAGTGATGAGGAAACGTATCTGTTTGTTACTGTGTAAAATTAACAACTGTAATACGACAGTGACAATGTTGTTTTTGCCCCTAACATCGCCCTAACATACATAAATATATATGTTGATATTAAACCACTTCTTGCACTGTATTTCAAAAAATATATTACACACCTGCCAAAAAGGAAGAGGGACAATTCAGGGTCAGTTTTGAATGCTATCAAATCTACAGTTCTCTACATCTGTTGAATGACTACCCAAAGTTAACTTGCGTTTTTTTCTTGTGCTCTCCCATTGCCCCTTATCTTTTTTTTGTTGTTGTTTTCTCTCAGAAAATCCCGCCTCAGCATCAGTCATTCACACAAAATATAACGTCAAAATAAAAACTCCTTGTAGCTCCTTTAAGCTCATCTGATTCCTGCCCTGCAGCTGATAGTTACTTTGGCAAACCATCTGCATCTTGTGATCGTGGGGCAATCCTTAAAAGAATTTCAACGACTAACCTAAAGCTAAACTGAGGTTAATATTAGTTTAATTTATTGCTCCCAAATTCTACATTTCCTCTAGCCAGAGAAGAAGCATCTGAACCAATCCTCACCTGGGTAGAGCTGGTAGGAGCCTGTGTGGTGCCAGCGGGGCAAGTAGCGAATCCTTAGAGGTAACCAAGCCCCTCCATCCATACTCTACCCTATCAGGGCCCCTTGCAAACTCATACACACAAGGTTGAGCACACAGTCCAAGACAGGGCACACACACACGAGAGCTGACAGTATCACAAGGAAGAAGGGAGACAGCGGATAAACAGGGAGACGAGATGAAGGAGAGACAGAGGCTGG